TTTGTTATTAATTGCAAGGTGTGTTTCAATTTGGAAGCTTTCATTTAAAAAACTGCAGTCAAATTCTGACGTTGTGTCAGATAATGTGTCTCTCAGTGACATCATAAATAATGAATGAGATGTTTTAAACTAATCTTGTTACTGAATTTACAAAAACGTGATACAGAAAACCAAAAAATTTTTGAATAACTAATAGAAAAACTAATAGGTAAATAAATATTATGATATAAACCAAATATATACCATAATTTTGTATTTATATGAAAAAGTTAAAAATATTTATTTATTTTGATATTTTTTAGCTTAGAATTTAATTCATTATGTAAATCAAATGGTTAATATTATGTATTTAAAGTAAGATAATACTGAAAGATATGCATGAGCTAAAGCTATTACGTGAATGATAAATAATGAAGTTCTATCAATTTATTTTTTAAAATTTATATTTAAATAAAATTTTTCGAAAATTACTATAATTTTGAAAACTTGATATATGTGAACAAAAGTTATATCACAAAATAGAGAAAAATGTTTTCTATGATTCAATTATGAATTTAATGTATAACTTTTAAACTCTTTTTTAAAATTTTTAATTATAAACACATACCCAGACGTTATTGCATTACTTCATTGTTGTTTACAATAACAAATCCAATCTGTGAAGATTTTAAGTTTGCTTGATTTATAACTTTTCGATGATTAATTCTATTGCCTAGCAGGTGGTATCAGTGTATTCCTCTCGAGTAGGGCTTCACGAAGGTATAAAATTCGCTTATGGTATTAGAATTTTTCCGCAGTTTACAAAATCGCAACATAAGAGCTCAAAGCAACGCGTCTTTCACTCATAGTTTGTTACACTACTCTGTATACAGAATGACAGCACATAGCTGTAACTAACACCTCTCGACACATAGCTGCACATAGCTGGACCTCTCGAATACGCGCCGAGTGCGCTACAGTTACGCCACGAAAGCATGCTGAAATTAAAGAGAAAATACCTTATAACTTTGTCTATTTTTAGACCAGGTAGATCGGGTCGTATTATTCTCTCATTCGTACTTTATAACTTCTAATCTGCATATTTGTATTAGAAATTGATCCTGCTCATTTATGTAATTTGCGTTATAAGGTATTTCTCCCGCCTTCCTAGCGTGCCTTCGTGGTGTAGTGGTTCTGCACGCTGGGCCGGTATTACTAAAACCATTTTGATATAAAAAATTCGTAGCATTGCTTCCTTCCCAAGGACTGCACGCCTCGGACAGCATAATCCCTCGAAAGGAAACCCTCCTTAAAACTAAGAAAAATCAATAACTGAATACTAACTGCAATATTAAAACAATAATTTCAATAAAAAATGTAGATTAAATTAAACACTAAATCAATAAATAGATGCATGAAATTACAAATTTATATGCATATAGGACTATGCACTTAAGATACTATTTACATTATCTACACTATGAGAACTACATACTATGGCCATAAGGAGCTAGCCTTTGAACGACTTTAGACTTCGAATCTGATGATAGATCGGAACTACGACTTCGTTAAGCCTGTTTAAACTGGTTAAAGACCGTCTCAAGGTTACTGTAGTTTAGAAGAAATTATTTTCCTTCGAATCGGATTCCATAACAACCGCTTGTCACCTCCGTTGAATCGATGTCCTGTAACCCTCGTGTTGTTTCTGGTCTTCATATTTGCCGTCCCCAAGTTAACTCCCTCTTGTGCAAATTGTGCATCACTTCAAATCGTGCCTGAGGACCCTGAATGTACTCTTCAGGGAATGGTGCATCCGGAGAGCGACCAAACAACATATGACAAAGCCAGACGAAGGTCACTAACGAGGAGTATCTGGGGTGGGCCTTGAGGACAGCAATGCGATAGACTAGCAAGAACAATTGTAACTTTCTGTCTCAGTTCTGTTGGTTTATGGAAACCATCAGCGAGAGGTTATTAAGGATGATTCGATTACACCTCTCTACCATATCGTCAGGTGTCGTTCAAGTTTTGTCTGTGCTAAATAGTTTAGAGAGTCTTCTAATTATAACCGATCTAATGCCGTATCATTACCTCTGCTACCGTGACAGCAAAATGATCAGAGATAGCATACGCCACACTATACCAATCTATAATCAGGCCACACTATACCATAATCTATGAGCCAGGTCAGCAATGCATGATCTGTGCGGAACAGAAATTATCTCCCGTAGAAGTAATGGTAGAAATGTTCTATGGCTTTAACTATGGCGAGCGATTCTTTGCTGGTGACACAACAATTTTTCTCCAGTTTACCGCTTCTTCTAGTATGCTACGACACGTTCTTTATCCTTTATTTCTCGGGACAAAACACCATTGAAACTATCTTTGTAAGTGCCCGTATCAAGAATAAATGAGTTGTCGAACTGAGGATACATAAGGATTGTCACAGATGTTAAAACATCCTTCAGTTTGCAAAATGCATTCTCACGTTCTTTTGTCCAGTAGAACGTTTGTTTCCTCTCTGTCAGTTTGTAAAAGAGTCTTGCGATAGAACAAAAGTACTTCACAAATCTCCTGTGGTATTTGGAAAGCCCCGGGACACTTCTCAGCTGGTGGACATTGTCGGGCCATCTGTAATCTTTAACTGCCAACATTTTTCTGAATCCGTACACGCACCTTCGGCAGAGATGACATTCCTGAGGTAGCTGACTTCATGTCTGTATAATTTGCACTTGGCATGACTTAACTTTAGATTGGTCTCCTTCAATTTCTCAAACACTATTTTAATACTTTCTAAATTTTCTTCGAAACTTTTTCCAACGCCGATAAGGTCATCCAGGTAAATCAGACAGGCTGCATAGGAAAGACCTCTCTGCACGGTCTCCATAACGCGTTCGAATGTTGTCGGCGTGTTACAAAAGCCAAACCGCATCACCTTGAACTGACAAAATCATTGTTCTGCAGCAAATGCCTTTTTTGCTCAGTCCTCAGTGTATATCTATCTATCCACTCTTTCAATCAAGTATCAAAAATCGTTTGTTTCCAGAAACAATGTCCTGAATATTTTTAATCATGCGAAAAGAGTAGCTGTCTTTCTTCGTGACGCCGTTCAGTCAGCGGTAGTTAACACAATATATAATTAAACCATCTTTAATTTGGAGCTGATGAGAGTGGTCCAAGGGCTTGCTGAAGGCTCGATTAACATCACTTTCTCTCATGCCCTTCATACCATTTCTTTTCTTCTTATGCCTTACTCCTTCCTTTATCATAATCGACAGAAATCTTGGATGTTGCCTGATTGGTGGAGGATTTCCCTTGTCAATTTTATGCTGTGGCAAACTGATTCGACCTACGTCGGAAGTTATTCGGCGGAAAACATCTTGAAATTCTTGAATGAATGATACGTTCTGCATCACTCCTCTATTCGTTGCTTAAAGCTCGTCGAAGACACAGCGACTAGAGGACTGTTGATTCGCTCAGTGCAGATCACTGGAATACATGCTACAAACCACTTCTTGTTTCCTAATAACGTTCGCCTTATCACTTAGTTTGGCGACTCTCACCGAGAAGACGATTCTCGACAGGTCGATGAGTGACGAGGCTATTAGTACTCCTTTCGAACTGTTACAATTCTTAGGATATTCCATTATACCGTGCACGGAATTTTTATTTTCAGCTATGAATCATAGTAATAAAAATTTTATTTTTGCTGGCAGTGTGATATCGTCTGATGCGTCTGACGTCTGATGCGTCAGTGAGATATGGTTCGGTGCACGGATTTCACTCCTTCACTTTTAATTCCGATTAGGGTTTGTCCTCAAAGCCAGAATGCAATTCATTATTTTTAAACCCCAAGGAAAAATTGTATTCCTTAATCGAATGTAAACGGGTCGACCACGTATGCTGTGTGATGGTAGGCGTCACTTCCAAATGCGATGACAACCTTTTACTTTCCATCAACATCGATTTTATCACCGAACAGAGTCTGGAGGGTAACGCAAGGTGGTGTCCAGATGAGTTTACCTACCAATCATTAAGTGAGAGCTTTTTCGATGATAGCAAAATTCGCTCCTATATCGATGGATATTGCAAAGAACTCCATTTCTATGTCCAATGATGAAGAGTACATTACTGTCGCCACTTATTATAAAAATCCGAAGTGTTTTAAAATGCTGCTTATGAGTATGCGGCAAACTTCGTCGCTCCAGATTCCCTAATTTGTTTCTCGTCTCTGTACTGGGAAGCGGTCTTAGCTTCTATGTCCTGGGCATTCTGAAGTTCCTTCGTACTTCGTTCGTTCTTCAGTTTCTTTGTTCCGTTTTCTTATGTCTACTGCAAAATACAACTAAATGTACAAAACAGTGAATAAGAATTGTATTTTAACAATAATTACCGGAAGATTATTGTTTCTTTTCTACATTACATAGGGATTGGAGCATTTACAGTTACACAAGATCGGACAAACATGCCACCAATAGGTCGCCAAGTTTGGCCACTTTTAGCAATTTCTCTCCAAATATGGCTACAAAAATTATTGTTCAAAACCATCGCTTGTTTGCCGCAGTCTCACCAATTTGGGAAAATAGCCATTTACCTCAATGTTAAATAGCTTATCTCTGCAGCCCTGTTTTTCCGGAGATGCATTACATTCTGATGCTTTTCATGTTACATTACACAAGAGAACTACACTTTGCATATAATTTCACTACATTCATTTACATAAATACAAAATTCGTGAAATTATTAAATGAAATGGAATTTTAATGCATTTAATTTTATATTTGTTTTACATCGGCTAATTTGTAACAAGATAAACTTAAGGAAATAAAAGAATCAGAAGGGAAGAGCTTGTGGGTCACTTATGGAAAACTGTGCTCAGAGAGGATGCGTATTTAACACCTGCAGCGAAAAATCTTTCTGAATTTTTGAAATACCGTTTATTCCTATTCTATATGCTCAATAATTAAATTTTATATTCATTTTAATATAACTATACCAGTATATATTATTTTCTTTCGCAGTTGGAGAACTTATGTTTCTGACGTGGGTGATGACAGCAGTATATTTATCTGCGGGGGCTGATGATGTTCAGAGGTGCAACAAACCAATAATTGGAGAGTGCCACTGTGGAAACGATTCGGAACTGATGCCTGTTTATGTGAAAAGGTAAATTTTTTATGAAATATCACATTAATTAATTGTTATGCATATTCCTAACCCTGTAGTGCCATTAACTCAGTTTGGCGGAACAGGTTAAGTAAAGTGACCATATATATAACTATTATGCATATTACTGGCAGCTTCACTAATAACCAGTTACCTTTTTTCAGTTGCCTAAAAGTTCAGGATGATGGTTCAGAAATTTGCAGCCCTTGCCCTGATGCTTGCGAAGATTTCTCTAACTGCAAAAAATGTTCTAAAACAGCTTGTCTAACTTGTCCTCCTGGAAGGTCTGGAAAATTTTGTAAAACCGAGAATAAAAAGTTGCATCAGATTGTCACATATGCCGATTTCAAGGAAAATATTTCTACAGATATGCAAGCTATGAATACAGCTTTAGTCATTAATGCAACTTCTCATCCAAAGGAAAATGCATCGAAGCAAGAGAATCAAACCACAGTTGAGAATAATGAACCCGGAGACGTTTCCTTACACGTGAATAAAGAATACAAGAAGTCGAATGATACAATGCTTGGATATGACTTAGACTGGTCGGAGGAAATGGGAGATGAGAATATAATTGAGGATATTTTGAATAAATTACCTGTAGCAGCAAATCAGTCACCTTTTCATCGGAATAACTCAAAAAGAGATTTTGTTCTAAGTTGGCAATTAGACAGTATACTACCTGAAGATATTCACGATGATAATTATGAGTACAGTAATTCAGAGGATTATTATTACAGTCCTGAAAACATGAACTTGGATGGCACTTTAATGACTAATTACATGCGAAACAATAATGTAGAACGTAAAAAGTACAGTGAACATATAGAGGGAGAGGAATCAACTAAATTTGGAAAAAGTAAAACGAATAGAAAATTGGGACTTTGCGATGTGCTTCCTATGCTTCCCACATGCTCTCTTCTGCATTTAACTATTATGGAAACTCCTGACTTGAAACATCCTAAACTGAAATCAAAGTCCAGACCACATTCTCACATTTTTCCGCCCCATTTGATACTTTTTTCTCGCAAGAAGAGGAGTCTAGAAACGCAGATGAAAAATGAGGTTGGTTCTTCAAACCTTAAAAAAAGATCTCCTTTGCTAATAATTGGAACATACGGAGATGTCTTCTTTCGCAAAGATGAAATGAAAAATAATTATGATTGCGATGAACAAGACAGTTTTCCAAACGATTTGCCAAAGCGTGACAAAAAAGACGTTAAAATGCCAAATGAATTTAAGTTACAAAAATACGATCGAAATCCTCATCATTATCAGTCACTTGTAATTATTATCAATAAAGCCCACAATAAAAAGCATACCAGACCTGTTGAACATAACGCTACAAATGATGATTCAACCCCATTCAAATTCCAGAAGTACTTATTCTCCATAAATCCTGATGAAATCACTACGAATACCATTGTAGATCATAATAGCAGAATAAATAATAACAAAACTGGGATAAAATTTTACATCAGTAAAAGAGACGATGTTGATAAAACAATATTTAAAGAAGCCCAACACCAGCAGTCTAAAATGACAAAGAGGAAATTAAAATATGATTTAGGCACTTTGCTTGAAAATGCAATATCCAGTGATCATGAAAGTTGGCATTCTCGAAACCAGTTAGAACCACTATATGAAGATAATTTACTTCAAAAATCTATTCCTCCTTTCCCTGAAAATCAACATTATACCATCCGACATCTTTTTGAAACTGAGAATAAAAATTCTTCACTTCTCAGAATCCCATCAGGTAAGTTTTTTCCTTTGGTATTAAGTTATTTTCGAAAGACAGGTACAGGTAAAAGTATGAGGACACCAGCGATGTACAGTGGATCAATTGGTAATGCTTTCCGATACTAACTCTAAAATAAATTGCAAGCTTTATTAGCTATTATTTAACTCTAAAATAAATTGCAAGCTTTACAAAGAAAGGCTGAGGTAATGAACAACTGAAGCTTTTCAAAGGATCTATAGTTTACCTGTTATGGTACATCATGATACCACGCCGTACACCCTGCATCCAGCATTTACTATTAAAAATAATGATTAGATACAGAGATTACAATATAGTTTCGAAATATTTGAAATTCCACAAATTAAATCGAAAATCTGTTCTGATGTAACAAAAATAACAGATAAACATAATAAGTAAGAGATAAGCATAATGAGATAAATATAAGTACCGGGAACACAACGTTATATTGAACTGTAATAATAATAATAAAGAGTATCCACGAGGTTATTATAAAAGGTTATTACAGTTTATAATGTTCACAAGTAGAATCCTTTTGAACATATCCACAGGATGCAAAAATTCGTTAAATGTATACGGCATGAGGACATATACTTGACAAAGATCTAGGAAGAGAGTCGTTGCATAAGTTTTTGATATCTTGGATACTGATTTTTATCTTTCATTAGAAACCTTTGGAATGCCAAAATTTAAGTGATTATTCTCAGTTAAAGGGCATGAGAAAGTGTACTAATCAGAAGTTTCCTAGCCGTCACATATTGAGGTGTCGCAGTTCGCCGTATTTCTTGCGTAGAAATACGTGGGGAACGGTTCGTATCCTGTTATGTAGTAATTTAAGGATTTGAGCACATAGATGAGAAACTTACTATATGTGCGTCTTCTCTCCGAAGCATTATTCCACAAATCTTGCCAATATTCTGAAGCAAGTTGTTTTAGTTCGTGCTTGAAATTTGAATGAGGCCATGGAACGATGATTTAAATACCCTCTTGTTTAAGAGCTACTTCTTTGGCTAATTCGTCTTGAATACTACTTGAATTTTTGCCAGACATTGGGAATTTTGTTTTGCTGAAGCGAAGCGCTGGATGAGTAAAGATTGAGGCTATTTTCCTTATCATAGCTGGATGGCAGATAGGTTTGGTTGTTAAGTGTTGCAGCTTGTAATACTTGAAGGACTTTCATGTAAGTGCATTCCATTTCAGCACTGATTGATAGTCGAAGAGTACCAGTAAATTGTTAAGAGCTATATTTGAAGCTGTGCGATACTCTCGAGTAATGCAAAGAATAAAAGGCCTTTGAATGAATTTAACCATTTAATCTTTCTCACTATCATTGGTTGTGCCCAAATTCTGCCTCCGTAATTTACCATTTTTGATATAACGGTTTTAAAAGATTCGGTGTTATATGCGGATTTAAGCCCCAGTTATATCCATGCATGTATATCATAGAAGTTAGCTATTGAAATTGTACGAAGTTTAATATTGTGTAGATGAGGAATCCAGGAGAATTACTTTTCGATTATTAATCCAAGGTACTTCTTGTATTCACAAATATTTTGGTTATCAATTTTCAGAGCTATGTTATGTTTCGCCCTGGTTTATGGATTACTAAGACTTGAGACTGACTATGTGAGATTTGAAGTTTTTGAAATTTGCAAAGTTGGTTAAATATCTGAAGTTTTCGTTACAATTATCCTGTAAAACGTATCTGGTACGACCGCTTGTGATAAAAGCAATATCGTCTGCATAAGAAACAATTTTTGAGTGTTTTGACTATGGATATGCAATGATGTTTTTAAAACTGATTTTCCAGAAAATTGCACTCATGAAAGACTCCTGGAAACATCCTTTGAATTCATTGCGCACAATTTCAGTGTTATTGTAAAGAATCGTATACTTTTCCTGTTTCCGAAATAATCTTGAATAATTAGGAATAAATTTTGAGGGTACTTAACACAGAGATCGTTGTATGTTTGCGGAATGTCATTGCAATGACGGATTATAGTTTGAGTTGGGGAATCTTCGATTGGATCATTAGAAACTTTAGAAAAGGACTCTTTAGAAAGATAGAGTCGAGAATTTCATTTAGGGCTGAGAGAATGGTATCTTGAATGTACCTAAGAATGAAAAAAAAATTTACTCGTTAAGAAGATTAATAAAACAGTGTACTTTTACCTGCTGTATAATGCATTACTATGTAAAAATACTCGTGAAGAAATAGATTGAAAATACGAGTATATTTTATTTGTACATGCTGTATAATGCATTTCTGTAATAATATAGTTATGTAATAATATGGTACAAAGTTTTGGTCTATCAAGTACTGGTAAATGCATAGTGTATAGGTATAATGTACAGGTATTCGAAGCACACATTAGTTTCATGAAGTTGTAATCACTTTTGTATAATGTTTTAATAACTGAGCTCAACAGAACATGCAAGCAGACTTGAGAGAAATTCAATTTTTGAAGGTTTAAATATTTTGCTACTGGCGATCTTATATAACGTGTCATAAATTTCTTTATTATTTGAACAATAATTATGCCAACTTTTTAATTTAGCTTCAAGAGTTGTCTTTTTATATATTGCATTTTTTTAAAAATTAATCTAGGCTTTGTGCCTTAATTCATTGTAAGTAATCGATTTCATTTTCCATTTCAATGCTCTCGTCTCTTCTGAGTGTGTAGCCCTTTAGTCCACCAATTTATATGAAAACGGAGTTTTACAGATGTTACTGGGAAGGTACTTTCACAGATTTCTTGAATTATTGTTATATATACTTCTTTCATTTTAGTAATTTTGAAAAGTTTCATTAAAACCGATGTTGAATTCTCTTTAATTTCAAAAGTAATATATTTATGATATGAGCGGGAGTTGTCTTCAATTTTGCGTTTTGAAATCGAATTAATCAGGAAAGAAACTACAAGATTTATACACCCTCTCCCATACATCGTTTCTGTTGGTAAGCATATAGTGATGGACTGTCGCCAATAGCACGATAAACTGTATGAACTGGAAACCCTGAAAAAGAGTTAACTGTGTAACTCTCTTATTCTTTACACTTTACTTTTCTCACTCCTTCAGGATAGGACAGTGATATGATACTCACTATAATATTACTCCTTTTCAATATGTATTTGGAATACTAACGAATTTTTTATCTATTTTTCATGTATTAATAAAGAATGTGTTTTGTGATCTTACAATTCCGTCTACAACCTATTTTTGGATTACAAGTTAATTAGATATGATCTCGCTTGATGCTGCGCTGGATACAATGGTAAGAGAAATCATTTCGCTCTCTATTTTTATTAATTTGTTGTGAAATTTCGAGGCTATAAAAATGTTTTACAACAAAAGATTATGAGACTGATGATAGATCATAGCTAATTAAATAATAATAAAGAAAAAATTGTAAAAGCTAAATTCTAGTTTCATATAAACCGAAAATAAATTTTTCAACGATACAAAAATGTTGAAGTCAAGTCAAATGCAAATTGCAAAACTGAATTCCTGTAATTACTCAACATGGAAATTCAAAATGCAAATGCTGCTAATAAAGGAGGATCTTTACGATGTAATCGAAGATGTACCTCCAAGCCCCCATTACAGAACAATGGAGTAAAAACGGGATCGGCAATGTCGCGCGATGATAAATTTATTTATCAATACAGCCAAATAATTCACATTAAACATGAAACTACTGCTAAAGCCACCTGGGAAAACTCAGGCAGGTACATGAAAGATCTAATCTTTCCAAGTAAACTATTTCTTTTACGAAAGCTTTACAGTTAGAAGCCTTGAAGGAAGACGGAAATTATGCAAACACATATAAATACATTACTGGAGTTAGTCGATAAACTCAAATCAATAGGTGAGAACATAAAAGACGAACACGTTTCGGCACTTTTGCTTTGTTCAATGCCTAGTTCTTACGATACGCTCATTACGGCTCTTGAAGCCAGAGCAGAATCGGAAACTGAATCCAGAATTCTTAAAAGGGAAATTAATTGACGAATTTAACAAGAGAGTTGTAAAATAATTCATCAGATTATAAAGGCATTTTAAAGCCTCATTTCAAAACAAGACAAAGAGAGAAAAGTTTTGCTCATATTGTCATAAAAAAATACCATTTTAGATCAGAGTGTTATCATCTAAAATCGAAACAAAAAATGAACCGCGACCAAAACTCGAAAGAAAAAAAAAAAAACATACGCGGATTCTAAAACACGCCAAGCAAAGAATGTCGGTAACCTCGCGATGAATCAACAACAAACAAAAATTAAAACACCGGAAATCGAAGCCAGATGTGACAGCGTCGCTCTGTTTGCTATTAACTACACCGTACATCAATCATCCGAGAGTTTTATTTTCGACAGCGGAGCAAGTAGCCACCTGGTAAATAATAAGAAATATTTCACGGAATGTAAACCCATAAATCCGTCAGATATTATAACTGCGAATGGGCAATGTATTAAATCAACGGCGATAGGAACTGTCCGTTTTAAAACATTAAATGCTAAACAAAAAATAACTGAAGTTCTCTTATCGGAAGTTTTATACGCTTCTGAATTAGAAACGAATTTAATCTCAATTAAGAAAATAACGGAAAAAGGACATACATCGTTTCTGTTGGTATGCATATAGTGATGGACTGTCGCCAATAGCACGATAAACTGTATGAACTGGAAACCCTGCAAAAGAGTTAACTGTGTAACTCTCTTATTCCTTAACCTTTACTTTTCTCACTCCTTCAGGATAGGACGGTGATATGATACTCACTATAATATTACTCCTATTTCAATATGTATTTGGAATACTAACGAATTTTTATCTATTTTTCATGTATTAATAAAGAATGTGTTTTGTGTTCTATTTGAAGTAATAAATTCTATTTTCTATTCGGTTCTATTTGAAGGAAATAAATGTATGATCGCGAAAGGAGATCAGATTATTCTAGAATGTCATGCAACTAATAATCTTTACCAAATTAAACCAAT